CCATTTTTTAGAATTTGTTCAGTGAATGTACACAAAAAAAGGCGCTATAATTGAAAAGTTGATTGTCGTGTTACTTCAAAACTGTACATGTTATACTAGTACGAATCCCGTGCGATATTCGGGTAAGATATATTCATTAATATTTATAAGGATAAATATCACATTTTGTGTTTATATATGTAACATGGATGTTGAATTGAATGTTACATTATTAATTTGACGTATCATATATGAAAAATAAAATAAAAATAAAAAAGTTAAAAACTTTAAAAAATGAGAAAAAGACATTTATAGTAATTAATGTATAAATTGAATAAGAAAATAAAATATAATATATGATAATGTAAGAAAAAAAAACATAAAATAGGTTATTATAACTAATTATAAAAGAAAAGAAGAAAGAGATAAATTAAGGATTTAACGTGTGAATTATATATAGTGGGGATTTCAAAAATATTGAATCCAATTTTGTGGAGCAAAATAATATCATCACACAATTTGATTGAATCCAATGTAATGAAACATAGATTATATGCAATTTGATACTAAATTTGTCATATAAAATCCATGATAGGCAATTCGTCAATTTGATTGATTTGTTACCATATAATTAGAAGTAGTTGCACCTATAAAAATGCAGAGCTATGCAGAAGAAAAACTAAAATAAAGATAAAAGTTTGGATATTAAGATGGCCAAGCTATTCTGGGTCCTTTTCCTTATTCTCTCAGGTTTATAATTTCTCCTTCACATTTGCTATAGATTTTGAAAAGCGATTTTTTCTTATTGATATATACTCAAAATTTACTTGTGTTTCTCTATCATTTTCTGAAAGAAATTTAATCATCAATCATAGTATTGAATAATCAGAATGATGGGGCTGTTTAGTTTGAACTTCATTGGCCTAGCCTATATACTTTTTAGAAACGTTGTTTATTGAATAAGTAAATCTTTAGTCAAACATTAGGCGCACACATATAAATAGATGTCTTTTTTTTTTTTTTTTCATAATTNAGTTTTTTGTTGCAGTCGCAATTGCACGTAGTGTTGTTGAAGTGAATGGGCAAAGGAGATGCATTGCAATATTGGACAAGAATGGCTGCCATCTTGCAGCTTGCAAGGAAAATTGCTTCAAAAAATTCAATGGAAATGGAGTTTGCACACAGAATGGAGCGCCCGGCTCATATATTTGTTCTTGCTTTTACAATTGTTGATTCAGTTATTAATTTATAAAGTTGATACATTACGTTAATTCCTTCAATCCTCCATTTTTTGTTTTTATGTTGTGATGTAATAAGCCCACATGTGATATTGTGGCGTAGTTTTGAGAATTCAATTACTAGTTTTTGTTTGAGCTAGCCTATGACTGATTCAATTACTAGTAGTCGCCTGGAACCTTCTCCTCTTTCTAAATTTTTTCCCCTTCTCTCTCTAAAATCGAAACCCTCGGCCCTTTTCCCCAAATTTGCGTCGTGCCTCCTCTCCGGCGAGCCCGCCCTTTATGATGTTGACCATCTTCTAATTTGTTCTGGTTCGTCCTCGGAGATCCGGATGCTTGTGGCTTGTCTCTCCGCGCCGTGGATTTCGGCCTCTCCAGTTTGTCATGGCGGGACGTCGAGGGCTAGAAGGTCCGTTTCTCTTACAGCGACGGTCGTTGCCGGCAGCCTTGCGGAGGTCGGGGCGAAGGACTGTACTTGGGCTCCCCTTTATTCGACCTTCTTTAGTGTTGGGAAGGTCGTTTCCTCTGACGGCGTCCGTGGTGGAGGCTTGGGTTGGAGTGCGCGTGGGGGGCCGGGGTGTGGTCTGGTTGGTTCAATTGCGAGATTGCCGGGGGTAGTGGTGTTGAGCCGTTGGTTGAGCGACTTCCTCTCGGTGATTCTCGTTAGGAGTTGGTTCGATTAGTGAAGGTGCTTGGTGCTTGCGGCCGGAGGGGAGGGCTTTAGTCTAGTATTTAGGTTTTGTGTTTTTAGATGTGTGCTTGTTTGAAGTGTTTAGATTTGTGTATTTGTTTGTTTTGTTATGTGTTTTTTTTTCTTTTCTCCCGTTTGGGAGTTTGCTATCTCTACTTGTGGGAGTCGCTATCTCCACTCGTGGGAGTTTATGTTNCCTATGATTGATTGATTCTGCTACAAGCCTACAACTTGTCTTTAAAATGATTTTTTTTCAACATGTAAATAAATAGGAAACAAGTTTCATCATATGAAATCCTTAACAAGAACAAGGTAGCTTGAGAGAATTTTTAAATAGTTATCTATATATATATAAAGAGGAGCAACAAAACATTAAATTATATCATCATTCATTAAATTTTATTCTCATGCATTAAATTTTATTCTCCCTCCAAAATTTTCAGTATTATTTTTAAGTTTCAAAATAACTTGTTTGAATGCCATAAATTATGAGCATAAACCAATCACGGGAATTACAAAATTGTACTCAAATTTTAAGTCACACTCACTCATGAAAATGGCCGAGTGTATTAGCATAAAGAAAATGGTTGTAACGGCTCTTCCATAGCAATTACTTGATCAAAATAAATTTTGAGATTTATTTTCTTAATTCATATTTTTTTCATGTATTAAATTATGATTTATTTTTGTTTGTTTTTTCATATTGTAATATTTTGAAAGTATTATTTTCTGTACAAATGCACAAATTGATTACTAATTCAGTGTAATTATTAGACTTCAAAGTTAAACGTGGATGTAGTTGGGACACTACAACAATAGTCTCCTACATCACTATGCCAATACTCATAAAAAGTGAGATGAAAAAGATTCAGTATGTACAGTTGCATTATTAGATCAATTTTAGCGGCTATAAAATATACTAAAAATGATATGAAATGAAAAAAATACCGTTGGCCGACGTTGCAAAATTATAAACTTCTCTCATAAGAAATGCATTAGAAATCTAGGTGGAGATAATTAACGAAAAATAATAATATTGGTCGAAGTAATTAGGAAACACTAGGATATGACACTATGACATTTATTAAAGAGAAGGAGGCATTGACATTTATTAGAAGAAATGGAGGATAATAACTAAAATGAAAAGAACATTTAAATTAAAATAGGAGAGGAGGAAATGATTAATTAAAAAACAATCGACGCCTGAGAGATTCGAACTCTCGCGGGGAAACCCCATGTACTTAGCAGGCACACGCCTTAACCACTCGGCCAAAGCGTCATTGTTGATAGCCTAAAGCTAGTTTACTTACATGTTCTTGTTCGTTTTCTCAAGAAACACGACGTTTAGCGGTAGAGAATGATGACCTCGAAAGATTTCATCTTTTACCACCTAATTGGATGAATATCCTATTTTCTTTTGGGGAGCCCGTATTAAAACTGGCGAGAAAATTCATAAAGTTGGATTCTTGAAGGAACGCAAGACTCAAAAGTGAAAAGTTTGAAGGTGGAGTTGAAATTTTGAAGGCAACTCATGGTTTTTTTCTTTAGAGTGGAGAAAAGGGAGAAGCAGAGAATGGTGTGTTTGAGAATTTAGCTTAATTTTTCGATGGTTGATCCAACAAAAAAAGGTACATTTGATGTGAATGCAAAGGGAAAGACTTTGCTGAGAATGGTGTGGTTAAGAATTTAGCTTCTTTTTTCAGACGAATAATGCAACGGGAATGACTTCTTTTTTCTTTTCCCTCATTTTGTGTCATTTCACAATTGATGAGATCTCTGTTGAGGAAGCCAAGGAGGGCTGCTCTTTAGCGAGGTACGTGGCAGATAATTAGCGTGTGTGTGTGTGTGTCTGAATGCATCTGTGTTTATAATGTGTGTGTTTTTCACCTGAGTTACTTTTGCTTCTGTTTATTGTAAGATACAATTTAACGTGAACATTGGTTGCTTTAATAAAAGATCAGTCTTTGATCAGCAATCAAGTGTATTGTGTGTAATTTGTTATCGGCATTAAGAGCTGGTGTGATGTGATAAGATATGAACACTGTAATCTCTCATTATCTTCCTGCAAGAAGATGGTAATAAATCCTAAATAACCAGGTTCTAGGGAAGTCATATGTTTTGAGTTATTGCAAAGAAAACGGCTCATTTCAGTTGATGATTCTGTGAATGTGAGTGGGAATCTCTTATTTGCATCCTTATGAACTCTGTCAAATATCACAAGAAAGTCTGCTTGATTATAATGTCGTTTTCTTCAAAGGATAGTCAATGTCCATATTCTGTAAGGCTGAAAAAAGTAGAATTTGAATAATCTTATTTGTTGAACTTAGTGACAGAATACTTCCACCGTATGCTTAGTTTCACTTGAAGCATTTTAAAACAAGATGCTTAAGTTTCTTTAAATTTTGATGTTCTCCTCTCCGTAGAACTTGATTTTCAGACCTTAATTGGGTTAAGCAACTACATAAAGAACCAGTTATCTGCCTAAGCTACTAATACCCCTGTTTATACAAACTACACATTATTAGTTACGCCTCAATGGGTTACGTGATATAATATCTCAATTCCATCATCACAATCATATCTATATCCGAAGCTATTATTGCAGAATGAACAAAACTAAGAAATAGATAGGATAGGACAAATCCAAATCTAAATCTCTCTGGTTCAGCACCACTAATTAACCTTGAACAAGTAGATTAATGGTTAATTAGCATAAACATTATGTAGCAGTTGAAAGTGAGAGTATAGTGGGAGGCACGAATGTGGTGGGAACCACCTTCTGACAAGACGGGCACATCGTGAGTGTAGCTGCCGGAGGCTCCATGTAGAATGGCTTTGAGGCTCTTAGTTGGTGAAGCTCTTTCTGCAATTTCCCGTTTTCTTCTCTCAGTGTCTCGCACCACCTCTTTAAATACCCACAATCTACTTGAGTCTGCTTCAATTTTGATCTGCAGAAAAAAAGAAGAAACTTTTGCCTTATTAAACTTCATCTTGGAAAGACAATATTTTTTAACACAATGAAAATAGCTAAAAAGGAAGCTGGTTCGAACAGAGATTGTGCGTGTGTATATATACTATACCGAGCTCTTCTGTTTTGGAACCATACTTCAACTTGCCGTGGACGAAGATTCAACTGCTTTGCCAGGCTTAGCTTCTGTTTCTACACAAAATCAAGATTTCAATATATATATCAGGAGAAAATCAATCAGTAGTTTTTATAACATTGCTTATGATTGAATCTAGTTGGGCATGACTTACAGGGTTGAGTGTGTTGTGCTGTTTGAAGCTGTCTTCGAGAAAAGCAGATTGTTGTTTGGTGAGCCTTAGCTTCTTTTTGGATATATCATTCTTCACATGATGTCCTTCTTCTTCTTCTTGTTCGTGACTGCTTGATCTTGAAATATCCCTTGTTGATGATCCACCACCTTCACTGATCATACTGCTGTTTGCAATAGTATTTTTAAATCCATCCCTTTTCCTTTTGGAATTTCTGAAAATCGAAAATCCTATCCGAGACGATGATGAAAGTGCTGCCGGAGCCCCTTGTTCAGTAACCACTGCCAAAACAATATAAATGATTTCATTTGTAAACGTACATTAATGGGACCAATATAAATTATAAACTGAGGAAAGTTACTTGATGGTGATGATAAAGGCAGCAGATTGAGCTGAATCGGTGGCCGGTTTTCTGGATTAGTTCTGATGGTTTGGTCTTCTCTACAGATGTTTCTTCCATATTTCTGCCAATCCATGCAAAAAGTCATGGATTTACAGAAAGGTTTTTTTGGTGCGTCACCTAAGCTCAAAGCCAACTGCATGGCAATTTAATTTTTTGGTTAAAGAATGTGGAAATATACCAATAAATAAAAGATCTTTGAATTGTGTACATATATATAGAGAGAATATGGGGAAGCTTAAAAATTAAAATACATATGATATTCTGCAACAAGGGAAAATAAGGGCAGTGTTTTTGGCAAGGAGCACGTGAATTTATATAAATGTGGCACACTCAAAATATCAAAGTTATTAAACTCGAATGGTAATTAAAACTTTGGAGCTCTATTGCACTGCCGGATATATTGACACATGAATGCAAGGTAATTAGTTAAATGACACATTCACTAATCTTTTCTCTTGAATTATCATTCTTTAAAGCATGTAATAATGCACAAAACACAACTAGTTAGTATATTGATGTTAACTTAATTATTATAATAATAATACTTCTACTAGTAATAATTAATATTTATTTAGGAATAGATATATATATATATATATATATATATATATATATATATATATATATATTGCCTGCCATCAGGCGTGGGTGGCATGGCTTTCATGGACGAGGTACAAAATAAAATTGGAAAAATTAATGGTTTGATTTAAAATTGGGGGAATCTATATTAGATATTAGATGTAAAGGAGAGTGGGACCAATGATTCATGCATTTTGGGATCATTGCAATTATTGAATTCACGCAGAATTTAATAATATAGAGTATATTCATTTGCTGCATCTATTTTTATTGCTGTTATTTTTATTGTATTTATATTTATAATTGGTTAATAATGAGAGAGTGATTGAAAGTTTGAAACTATAGTATAGGAAGATCTTTGGATTCATTGTCTCGCTCTTTTTCTACTAAAAATCATATTTTTTATCCATTCTGTAGCACATATTATTTTCTACTTTCCACTTACAAAATATACTGCATTTTCTTAAATATTTTACAAGCAATTATTCATCTAATGAAAAATATAAGATGATTTAGTTTAAAAATAATGGAACAACACAACACTAACAAAATAACATCTCATGAACACTTATAAGAGCAGTAACAAAACTGAGTTCAAGCATATTTGCTCATTTATCATTTTTTTGCTCTATATTAAATAATATCAACCGTGCAAAGTTGTAAACGAGCCGAATTACCTCATGATACTCAAATTCGGGCTCAAACTAGATCAAGCAGAGCTCGAACGAGCTGCCCATATAAAATATCTCCAGTAATATAATTGAACTTAGTGCACATCTTTTTCCAAATGAGAAAATGGCTAAGAAAAAGATGAATACCAAGTTAGTCTTACCCTTTCTACCTTCTGCCCGACGCTCGATTCTTCAACCGCAAACGGGTAGCTCGAACCCATTTTGTCATCAATCTTAACGAACTAAACTCGAGCATTAATGAGACGATCTAAGAAAATAACATGAAAAATCTATTTTTGAGCCTTAGCGAGTCGAGCTCAGCTCATTAGCTCAACGAGCTTGAGCTTGGCTTGTTTGACCAAACTCACGAGCGATTCATCCTTCCCGAACACAGCATGCAACTCTCGGAGAATCTCTCAAGATAAGCAGTAAAACTATATCAAACGTGACTTGGCTGCCGCATTTGGGCCTGAAAATATGATATTCCAATAGCATTCAAAATTGGACACCAATGAGCAATAAACCAAAAGCAGGTTTTACTCATCATTCTCATGACCCAATGTCCGTAGCCCAACAAGAACCCAACATAAGGGGTCGCTCAAGGCTGTTAAAAATAGAGGAAATTGCACCCTATACTAACACCTTTAAATTATACTATTACACTTTTCTACCTCTTATATACTTACTTTTAAATTTACCTAAAGCTACAAATATTTTCAATTATACCTAGAATTCAAATTTTAGTAACTTATCCTTTAATTAGGGAAGAAAGATCACACGGGGATTTTATTCTCCAATATATTCTCACTCATCTGATCTCCACAAACAATAGCAACAAAGATCACACGGGCCGGATTTTGATTTGCCGCTCCGAAAACACAACGGTAACAACACTGCCGGCCCTAAACCCAAGCCGCCGAAAGTCTCAGCATTATCATCAAAGTCGAGCCTTTCTAATCGGGAGGAGCTTGAGATCGAGATTGCCAAGGTTTTATACGGATTGATGACCCAGTCCAAAATGCCCATCTTCATCAAATAAAGAGGAACCAAGAGAAGTAAATCAATTGAGCATCGATGCAAAGTCGCAAAATTCATCTCCGATCCCTAATTCTACTTCGAATAATAATAATACCAATATGAATAATCTCCCTGCTGGACCCAATTCCGGCCCCCTTTCAGCCTCAATTTGGCATGTATGTTTATATATATTTGTGGTGGTT